CTAGCTGTTAAGACTTGCATCAATATGCTAAGATGTAGTGGCTTCACAAAGTGCAAACCTTCCATCCATTTGGCTCAAAGCGAGGCCACGGATAATACTATTGTGTATCTGGCCTCGCGCCGATGCTGCTCCAATTTGGCACGGTCCCCATGAGCTGATAAAGCTGAATGAGCAATGGCTCGTTGCAAAAGGCTTTGACCTCAGCGACAAAGATGCCTTGTTAGATGCTTTGACCAAAACATGAAGTCTTCAAATATGCTTTTTTTGATTTGAATTGTGCCTCTGACGGCACAAATAGTCTGGAGATTAATCTTTCTCAGAACAAGCGTGTGCTTGCAAGGCGAGACAGTAAATTAAATACACTTTCGCAACCATCTGCCTCTTCTGCCTAACCGTGACAGCAAAATTGCCTTCCTATTGCCATGAAATGCTGGGATCCACAGCTCTCTTCGTATTTCGCAATGGCACCTTTAATATCCTGGGCACGTTCCAGCTTGGGTCCCTACTTCTTCCCGATGCTTGTTTCAATCACTCAAAGTCAATGTGAGCACTCTGAGCTCTCATAGGCCTCAGAACCTTATTCATTGCGGCTAATTTGGAATAACAAATAATTCCATTTACTGATTGTTTGCAAACCTCGTGTGCCTCCAGACTCCTGGCATTTTCTCAAAATATGTAAATTGTTTGGACGCTGAAGGGATGTAGGCGTAAAGGATTACAGAAATGTATGCTTCAAAAGCCTTCGAAGAATAACTATTACAAAAGTGCAACTCGTAGTGTTCGGCGCTCTCACTAACTCCTTTTTTGCTGGCGAGTGGCACCTTTGCGATCAAGGCCAATGGCTTCGTTTTCAATTTCACTGGCGACCAGTACGAAGCTTTGGCACTCCTCGACAAACATCCACAAGGGCATCTCGGGTTGGTGACAAAAGCTAGCAGGGCGGGGGTGAAGCGGGGGATATCCGACCGAGAAAGGTAAGAAGATAGAACAGTCAGCCCCCTGCCAGCGGAAATACACACGTCCCAGAGACGCCCCAGGGAGCAGTTGAACCCGCCGGGGCGCCGGGGGGGTAGGGGGCCCCTCGTATATATGAAGTTTTCGCGCGATGCGGCGCTCTCGAGGATTCAAGCCCCTCACTTTCTAAAGCAAGAACAACTCCAGCTAGCTGGTGCTAGCTTTCGTGATAAGGGCATCTGACGAACAGAAGTGAAACTGATATAGGCCCTATAAGGGATCCCCTTGGCCACAGTGCAATGCTTTGGTCTGAAGGAAGGCTGATGCTGACGTGATTCATACAAAGGCTGTCAGGCACGTTCAATAGAAGCATCGCAGCGTCTTAGTATTGGCAAACATATGACAGCTTTGGAAGCTGTCCAACTCTGTCAGCTCCAATGTTCATTTGGTAAAGTTGCCAATTGATTAGTTGCTTCAGCTTTCTATTCTAACTCTCTGATAACAGCTTGGCAGAAACGCTTGTGATGTCAAAAGGAATCCTGCCTCCATCTCAAGGCCTGTGCCAGGTCAACAAAAACTCAAAGTTGACAAAACCCTTCAACAAAAGGTCCGTAACGACTCGAACGAGCAAATTGTCAGAGATCTGACAGTCTGACAATCTCTTCTAAGCCATGCTCAAACCCACTTGGATCGAAGGTCCTCTCTCTTCTAGCATGGCTTGCTTTTCATCTCCACTTGGCTCCCAGGCGAAGGCAAGCGAAGGAGATCGAATTCGCACAAATCTGCCAAATGTCTGCTTTAGATAATCTATCTATCTATTGATGTGTTGTGCAGGGACTGCTTCTTATTTCTTCATTGCTTCTAAAAGCAAAGTTTTTGCTGCAGGGACAGAACCATGTGCCTTTAAACTTTAAGCCAGGCAGCTGCAGTACATCAAGTGTCCTCTGAGGCTTGCACGCTGAGATGTATCGAAATTGTATCGATATTTGCCCAAATACTCACTTGACTCAGTTTGTATAATATGTATCATGAGGTGGAGCGTGACCCGTTGCAACCCTACGTTGGAGCTGCTAGCTGAGAGCTGTCCTTAACTCATCAACGAATCAGCATTGTTGGCAGAACTTTGGCTGAAAGTGACGTCATGCTGTCCATACAAACTTTCTCATTCTTGAACCCTTCACTCCTTAACCAAGAAATGTGAAAACCAACAAGTCTCGTGCAAAAATATGTGAAGGGATCCGGACGTGATTCTGAATCTATCCCGTCTCAGGTGCCACTCTCAAGGAACATGCTTCGTCCAGCGCCTTGTAGAGGGGAAGAGGAGTCTTGATTGTGATTCCCGGATTCACAATCCATGCAGGATTATCTGGGGGGCATGTTCTGGCCGCTCTGGCCTCCGGGGCAGCAGAATGAACATGTGATGCCAAGACACTTCTCCAAAGTTGAACTTTTCTGTGTCACGTATACGTCACAAAACCAGAAGCTACTAGTTACGAGGGCATTACTAATGTATGAGGTTAATTGTATTGTATTTAAGTGGGTGAAGTTTTGAGTCTTTCAGTTCGACGGAGCCGAGCCAAGGCCTTTCACATGGAATGTGGCAGTGCATTGCAGTGATTTGAAGAAGCGTACTTGCGCTCCTCAGGGTGTTTTTGAGGTTGATTATATGTTCATGCATGCATGAATGCCTTCCCCGCGAAAGCTTCTATTTCTGATTCGATTTTGTTCAATGTATCTTACCCAAGAATTAGGCACTACATTAGCAATGGACAACCTTGGAGCTAACCAGTGTCTGAAATATTCTTGTGTGGTGTCTCACAAGAAGTCGAAGGACAAAGTGCAAGTCTGAAGGTTGTCGTTCTGAACGAAGAGTCAAGAAGTATTTGAGCGACTGGCAAAACTTTCAAGGAAACTATGTTCCCAGCGCGACTATACTGTTTGGTAATTCGCTATATATATCATTCGACAGGGGTTGGCTATCCTTCCGTACAGTATTTTTTGTGGAGCGAAATGTCATTGACCAATCCACTGGCCGCTTGGCTGTTCCAAGTAGGATGTTGTCACCAATCTGTCTCCCGTATGGTCCACATGAAGTCGTAAGAACATTGGCATCAACCTGTCACCTAAGTGACAAGTTGACCACTACTACTGAAATATGTGTGCAACAACCGGTCTTTGTTTGTGTCGATTTGGTTATCGGTCACCGACTGGAATATTTGTCGGAGAAATACGTTAGGGCGCGCCCTTCCAAAGCTGTCGTCCCAAGTTTTGTGCAGGAAGGTCTGTTGCTCTAGTCATTGCCCCCACAGGCTTCAGGCTTCAGCAACGGAGCGAACGTTGTGCAGTCTGTCAGTGGCGCAATCATTTTGCCCGTGGCCAGTCAGTCTGATAGCTTTGTTTCAGAGTCATAGTTCAAGTTAGTAGTTCACTATATTTCTTTTCTGGGTTTGGAGAAACCTACATCATAGCAGAGAACATCAAAGAGTACACTATTATATGAACAGTTTTGTCTCTTGCTCATTTGTACAGTGTTCTCATGAGCCTCCAGACTCCTTGGACCTCATTAATTCACAACTGGCCATAGAAAACAAATCAATCCGATAGATAGACATACATTATATACTGTTTAGTAGAACTTCATGTTGCACGTTCCCTTTTTCAACTGCGCTTTCCCAGACTTCCACGAAATACTTTTGCATTCGCGTTGAGGAAAGATTGGATGAAGATGTACAAACTCAAGGCTGTGCCTTCTGGCATAAACGAAGACTTCCAGGAGCAAAGATTAGCTCAAGACTGGAAGCCTCATACTGTCTCCAACCTCCAAACATAGAACGGTTCATGAGATATCTGATAACCATACTGCGCAAGTTCATCACTTGATGTTGTAGCAGCTGTTACTGCATGTCGTAGTTGGCTTCAGAAGGCTCAAACTAGCCTGCTGTGAGTTTTTTGGTTTCAACCTTTGCCTGAAATCCGGGCAAAAAGGCATTTGCGAGTCCACAGGGTGACCCTTGCAAATACTGAGAACTACAACACGGACTAGGTGGTTGCTTGAAAAACTCCTCTCTGAGAGTCAAAGGCAACCCCTAGCACGTAAGCTGTGCAGCCGCATATCGACCTGGCGTGTCCCACACATTCTACACATTCTTGCACCAATACTGCCAAACAAAACGCGCACAGCGAAGGCCACGCGCCTTACACAGGGCTTGCAGGGGTTGATGAGCTGATCCCTTCCTTGAAACAATATGAAACAAGTAAGTACACCTATCTGATTGAAACTCTCAAGCATTTGACTCCAGTCAAGTGTGGCAAAACAAGCATGCCGCTTCGTCTGCACTGCAAACCCCTTTTTCCTCGAGGCATGCCAACCATGAACTTGGCATGAACTTGCCTTGTGGGGATAGAGGTTCTCTATCCATCGAGACCCAGGGGGGCAAATCAAAGGTGCCATTCTGCATACCCCTTACTCAGCCTCACTCAGCACTCCAGGCACGGAGTCGCGGCGCGCGCGTGTGCCAGGATGCATGGGAATCCGGGATGTATCATCTGCTAACTCCACAGGAAAATGAAGTAAACAACATAATTAGATTAGATTATGTAATATTATAGAAAATAGAATGCCCGCAAAAACAAGAATAAGCAACACACAGCTCTAAGTTTTGTAACTGTCTCAAGCCAAGCTCTTGCAAACTCCTCAGCCATTCCGAAATCCTTCCCTTGCATTTTTGCGCTGCCGGATGTTGCTGACAATCGCATCATGTATGAATCATTTCCCCACAACATACGCAAACCTTTACAGTATATATATAGTATATATATACAATACATACATGTTTACGTTTGCATACATCTAAGCAATTTGATGCAATTTGTGCTGTTGTTGGTCAATTTATGTATACGACTTAAAGGCTCAAGGATACCCTTGTAAGGTAAGGTAAGGGGTATGCCCATTCTACAAGCAGCTCTATATACATTTGGGAGTAGCTGCCTTGAAGTACAATTGTTCAACTTAACTTAAAGTAAACAATTTGCTCTATGGCTTGCTCTCACTTTGAAGCTTCCGATTCTGAAGCCACTTTCCTCCTCAAGAATTAGGCTGGAGGGAGATGATTTTTCACAGCTTGTCGTGGACTCAAACCGTCCTTCCAGCTTTAGCTGGGACAGGTCGTCGCAGTCGCACTTTGGCCTCAGAAAAGCAAGTCTCAAAGCAGTTCACCAGCAGTCCAAGACTAATGCAATCACAACAAAGAACAATTCCATTGCGACCAAACACTCTGCCACTCATCTCCATGAGGTAGCACACTACAAAAGCTTTTCGTCGCAGCAAATAGCTCCTGAATTTCATGTGGCTTGGCTCACTAGGTCCAGCATGTACGCACCACAAGCACCCAAACCACATCTCAGAGATGCACGGCATAAAGGCACGAAATTGCGCATGAGAATCCAAGGTAAGACAAGTGACAGCCTTGGCCGTGCAATCTGGACAAGAACGTCGTCCTAGTCCTAGTCTTCCAGTCCGGTAAACTGGCAGACTGAAATTGTGCTCTGTTGCTCAGCTCTTTACGTAACCCAGTTCTTCTCCTACACTTTGAATATCCTTTCGCAGCCTGAACGCAATCAAGTAGGCGTGTTTGCGCCGTGCGATATAAAGAATCACAACGGCCTGTCGGCGGTGTCAATGGAGGAATTGTCAAAGCGAATGCGGATCCTATTCTCAGCCTCAGAGATGTTGACAATGAAGCGTGCCTTTTGATCGAAGACTTTTCAGCGTGCTGAGAAGGGGGCCAACGGGCCCCCAGTTGGACATGGGACAAAGTCGCCCTTGCTGCTATCGGCACCTGGGTCAATCGTTCGTCTCAACAGGAGAACTGTAGGAATTGGCAGTGAACACTGCACCAGGTTCAAAACTGCCACTTTGCACACGCAGATTTGACCTTGGGATGCAAAGCACACCTGTGAAACCAACAAAAATGCATTTAACCTTTTAAAGCAAACACTGGTATACAATAGATCTATCCATCCACATGTGTATGACTCCAGTATGAGCATGTACGCGCACAATATGCCAATGTTGGTCTCCACAATGCATCCTTGACATTTGTGGAAGACCGATTCTCTCCCTCTCTATGCTGCCATTTGAATCCAGCTGGAATGATTCAAGGACCGGTGACTGGTCTGGGTAAGCTGAGCTTGTGGCACTCCCACCCCAAATCGGGTCAAAGTTTCCTGACAAGTGGAGTTTCGCAAGTCAAGAAGCTCTGATTTTCAAGGCTTGCAACCAAGAAGCTGTAATTTTTGCAAGCTGCCCGGGTCTGTCTACACCAAACCTGGAGCACAAAAATCAGCATTGCAGGGCTATGCGCGTACTATGCTGATTTCTGAGGACCTAGCAGGTATATAGTGCCCGTCTGCTGATGGCTATGAAGAGAATTGAAGCACTGTTCTGTCGGAAGCAGTGGGTTTGACAAGTGTGACTCCAACAGGCAAGCAAAAAGCTCTGATGTGCCGGGGTAAATCTCCTTAGTTTGTTTCAGCCTCCACCCATCTGGAGTCATGTGGCCCATGACGCCACGTAGAAGTGAGGAGAGGATTAATTAATTCATATTCACCATAATAGCATTTTGGGTGAGGAAGTACTTCAATCTGCCCTTAGTTGGCTGTGGAACTCAAAGAGTTGCAGCAAAGATTGAAGTCTCTTTACACAACTGTTGCAAAGAAATTACTGTGAAGTACTGCAGAGTCGGCCTATTGTTAAGAAAACGCGGACCCAACGAGCAAGGGGTCAAGATGAAAAAAATATAAAACAACAACCTACTCAAAAAAAACTCAGACCAGAAACTCAGATTCCAAAGCCACTCAATTGAGAGACTCAAATTGGACTCAGATTGGACTCAGATTTGTACTCAAACATGGTGTTTGAGTTGTTTTTGAGTTTTTTTTTTAGTTTTTTTTTGAGTTTGTTTTTGAGTTGTTTTTGAGTGTGTTTTGAGTTTTGTTGTTGAGTCTGTTTTGGATTTGAGTTCTTGAGTTGATTATTTTTTGATTATTTTTTGTTTTTAATTTTTTCAATGATTTCAGCCCTGTCTGGTCACTGCGGGGTCTCAAGCCTATTGAAGATCTTGCTTGAAAATCTTCTGGCGTGCTCAAGCTGGCCTTGAAAGGAAGATCTTCCACAAAAACATTTAAGAAGCTGAGAAGAAACGAAGAACATGGAACGTATTGTGGTGACTGACTGAGGCACCTGGCTGTGTATACCTGTGCTGGGCTGTGCGTCTGTAAAAGCTTCATCAGGGTTGGCACTCGGGCGGAAGGCAAAACTGCCTGCCAATGGCCGACCAATTGAATCCATGACCCTACTTTTGCTGGCATGTCTAAACGCTCCGTTCTCATCCTCTATTCTGCTCAAACTCATCTCGATAAGCCTTCATGAACATCGTGCAGCCCAAATGGGTGTCATCCTCTGAGTCACCTTCCTGACATTCTTGTGCCACCAGTTTCATTTGCCTTCTGCAGAAGAATCAGAAGCTTTCATCTCGCTGGTTCCCCGTATGGCTCCGGCCGGCAAACCAGCGGGAGAAATGCAGGCACCAAACGCACTCACCTCATCATTGTGCAAGGTGTGAGTTGGTAAAGCTGCTTCTGCCTTCATTTCTCGCTCGGTCTGTGACCTCCAACAAATTATGGCTGAGGCAAATATGATTTAATCAAAAACTGCCAGGCTGAGACATGGACTGAGAAGCTCTCTGCCTGTGCGAAACAATCACAGCAACTTGGCTGCGCATTGATCCATCAAACATGTCTTTTCCGTTTATCAACATCTTGTTACTTGTTGAAGTTGGTGGCGGAAGGGTTTGATCTTAAACAATTCAAACCTGAGGCACACGACTTGGTGTTAGCGCTGAGCGACGTCACTGTAACCGGCTTTCACCGGCCAACCGGGCAAACGCTCCATTCTTGGTCTTTGTGTGATTGTCCCACAGCAGCCGCGGGCCAACTCTTTTCAGCATCTACCTATACAGCATACATATGTTATACAGTATACATATATATATGTATATGGGGATGCGCTTGCTCGTTCAGCCAAAACGACTCTCTCGGTACTGTAGGCGGCCCGGCGATTTGTATATATAAAATATCTATATATACATATACACATACACATGCACACATATTATAATGGTATATGTGAAATAAATATATTTATATATACTATATGTGTGTTCACATTTTAAATACAATACTTCTCTGTGCGAAACGAGCAGGACTACCAACGTGTGCCTTATACAAATTAAATAAACAGTTTGTATAAAGCAGCATGGGAGGTGCAACTTCTTACAAGTAGTTCCCAGGCAAGCCGGCGGCGGAAGTTTCCAAAAGAATATAGGAAATGGGCATGTGGCAGGCTGATTCGCCGAGCTGCGATGTTCTTTGACAAAACAAGTTGGGACCGGCCAATGGAGCGAAAGCGAAGCAGCCACCGTCAACTGTCTCGCAGGAAATAACGTTGTTCATGCATTTTTGCAAAATACAAAATAGAGATGACTCAGCCCAGCCGCGTACTAAAGTTGTACTACAAAGTCGCCAGTTCTCAGCTTCCAGCTCCACGGCTTGCTCCGCGTACTAGAGTTGTACTACAAAGTCGCCAGTTCTCAGCTTCCAGCTCCCCAGATACTCCGCATGCTAAAGTTGTACTACAAAGTCGCCAGTTCTCATCTTCCAGCTCCCAGACACTCCGCGTACTAAAGTTGTACTACAAAGTCGCCAGTTCTCATCTTCCAGCTCCCCAGATACTCCGCGTACTAAAGCTGTACTACAAAGTCGCCAGTTCTCCAGCTCCACAGATTGCTCCGCGTACTAAAGTTGTACTAGAAAGTCGCCAGTTCTCATCTTCCAGCTCCCCAGATACTCCGCGTACTAAAGTTGCACTACAAAGTCGCCAGTTCTCAGCTTCTAGCTCCACAGATTGCTCCGCGTACTAGAGTTGTACTACAAAGTCGCCAGTTCTCATTTTCCAGGTCCGCAGATACTCCGCGTACTAAAGTTGTACTACAAAGTCGCCAATTCTCAGCTTCCAGCTCCACAGATGCTGTGCCTGCATCGAAATTTGCACATGGAGGTTCACAAAGTCTGGCACGAAATCTGCGCATGGAGGTTCACAAAGTGCTGTGCCTGCCACGAAATCTGCACATGGAGGTTCACAAAATGCTGCGCCTGCCACGAAATCTGCACATGGAGGTTCACAAAGCGCTGTGCCTACCACGAAATCTGCACATGGAGGTTCACACAGTGCTGTGCCTGCCACG